TTGAATCTCCTTGTTCCCCATTTGGGTTTCCAGGCCCCAGTGCAGAGGCAGAAAAATGAACCGATCAGCTGTTCCCCCCCCCCCCCCCTCCCCCCTTTCCCCTTTTTAAACAAGTATATCATCAGAGCGCAACTAATTACGTCTGCTAAATTGGCTGCCTTGTGCTAAAAGGTGCTGATATTGCGGCCTATCTGTAAACCACAACATAATGTGCCAACTGCTGTTTCAATGGCTAATGCAGAATATGAAAAAGTGAATGAATCCATGCTGTAATATTTTTTTTTTCTATTTGCATACCAAAAAAAGAATAATTTTGTTTTGGTACTTTTGGGGCGAGGGGGCATTTTTTTTTGTTTTGTTTTTGTTTACACTTCAATTCTAAGCCTAAAAAAGTAAGTAAAGAACCCTTTTCCTAATGCTCTGTAGAATGTAAGTAAAGGACCCTTTTCCTAATGCTCTGTAGAATGTAAGCAAAGAACCCTTTTCCTAATGCTCTGTAGAAAGTAAGTAAAGAACCCTTTTCCTAATGCTCTGTAGAATGTAAGTAAAGAACCATTTCCTAATGCTCTGTAGAATGTAAGTAAAGAACCATTTACTAATGCTCTGTAGAATGTAAGTAAAGAACCATTTCCTAATGCTCTGTAGAATGTAAGCAAAGAACCCTTTTCCTAATGCTCTGTAGAATGTAAGTAAAGAACCCTTTTCCTAATGCTCTGTAGAATGTAAGTAAAGGATCATTTCCTAATGCTCTGTAGAATGTAAGCAAAGAACCCTTTTCCTAATGCTCTGTAGAATGTAAGTAAAGAACCCTTTTCCTAATGCTCTGTAGAATGTAAGTAAAGGATCATTTCCTAATGCTCTGTAGAATGTAAGTAAAGGTTCCGTTTCCTAATGCTCTGTAGAATGTAAGTAAAGGTTCCGTTTCCTAATGCTCTGTAGAATGTAAGTAAAGGACCCTTTTCCTAATGCTCTGTAGAATGTAAGCAAAGAACCCTTTTCCTAATGCTCTGTAGAATGTAAGTAAAGAACCCTTTTCCTAATGCTCTGTAGAATGTAAGCAAAGAACCCTTTTCCTAATGCTCTGTAGAAAGTAAGTAAAGAACCCTTTTCCTAATGCTCTGTAGAATGTAAGTAAAGAACCATTTCCTAATGCTCTGTAGAATGTAAGTAAAGAACCATTTACTAATGCTCTGTAGAATGTAAGTAAAGAACCATTTCCTAATGCTCTGTAGAATGTAAGCAAAGAACCCTTTTCCTAATGCTCTGTAGAATGTAAGTAAAGAACCCTTTTCCTAATGCTCTGTAGAATGTAAGTAAAGGATCATTTCCTAATGCTCTGTAGAATGTAAGCAAAGAACCCTTTTCCTAATGCTCTGTAGAATGTAAGTAAAGAACCCTTTTCCTAATGCTCTGTAGAATGTAAGTAAAGGATCATTTCCTAATGCTCTGTAGCATGTAAGCAAAGAACCCTTTTCCTAATGCTCTGTAGAATGTAAGTAAAGAACCCTTTTCCTAATGCTATGTAGAATGTAAGTAAAGAACCATTTCCTAATGCTCTGTAGAATGTAAGTAAAGAACCATTTCCTAATGCTCTGTAGAATGTAAGTAAAGAACCCTTTTCCTAATGCTCTGTAGAATGTAAGTAAAGAACCCTTTTCCTAATGCTCTGTAGAAAGTAAGTAAAGAACCCTTTTCCTAATGCTCTGTAGAATGTAAGTAAAGGATCATTTCCTAATGCTCTGTAGAATGTAAGCAAAGAACCCTTTTCCTAATGCTCTGTAGAATGTAAGTAAAGAACCCTTTTCCTAATGCTATGTAGAATGTAAGTAAAGAACCATTTCCTAATGCTCTGTAGAATGTAAGTAAAGAACCATTTCCTAATGCTCTGTAGAATGTAAGTAAAGAACCCTTTTCCTAATGCTCTGTAGAATGTAAGTAAAGAACCCTTTTCCTAATGCTCTGTAGAATGTAAAGGCGACCGGCCAGATGCTGACCTCGTTGTCCACTGAGTTTTGATTAAAAGCACATTTTTTTTTTTAAGTAAAAGACACCAAGGGCATTCGATAGCTGGTCTCCTGTTTTTTGTTTGCTTAATTAACCAAGCGCACTTGTTGGGTCATGTGATCAACATTTTTTAATTCCCAGATCACGACCTGGTACCCATTTTAAGACGGAATGACCTTGCAGCCTCGTTCAATTTTGAAAAATTCACTTCAATTTGGATTTGACCCTAGACCTTCGGCACCAGCAGATAAGCATCTAGCCACAACACTGCCATGGCTCTCATACTGAGTTCTGATTGGGCTACACACAAAAATATCTGTGTGGTGCCACATTCCCAATGGGATACGCCACAGTGTAGTGGCTGGATGCCTGCCCGTGGATCCCAACATCGTGTGTTCAAATCAGCATGCAGCCGGTTGGGCTCCCAGGTCGACTTAGCCTTAAATGGGTACCAGGTAAAGTCTTAGGAAATAAAAGCGGCCAGCAAGGTGTTGACAATATCACCCATCAAGAGCCGACTGGTGAGTCTAGTCCTATATGCCCGATGTGCCACTGGCATGTAAAAAGACCTTATATCCCCAGTGAGTCAGCAACACGAGAGAGGTCCTTAACTCTTTCAGTCCTTAACCCTTTCAGTCCTTAACTCTTTTGGTCCTTAACTCTTTAAGTCCTTAACTATTTCAGTCCCATGAGGTCATAGCTAAAGTCCCAGTCCCAGGGAGTCAGGAATGTCAATAACTAAATGCACGGGTCAGATGGAGGCTGAAGATACAACTCTTTGAGGAAATAAATATGTTTAAGTTCCTCAGAGTCCCTCACCAAACATATGATGTATAAACATACATACTCATAACATGTCGACTGATACACATCAGTCTCTTACCAAACATAGGATGTATAAACATACATACTTGTAACATGTCGACTGATACACATGAGTAATACCTAATTATGCAGAGTGTGCGTTGTTTGAGACAGAAAGAGTTAACTGACTGTTGGAAACTGGAAAGACATTGAGCCTGTGTTCTCCAGATGAATGAGATCCTCACTGACCGTCCTCAGGGGCTAGGGCTATGGGCAGGTTCTCTCCAGCTGGGCCCTTGAACATGAACCTGTGGATGGTCAGAGAAATGGTCAACATGGTGGATAGGCTGGTTTAATGTGTTTTGTTGCAGCAAGTATTTGTTTTCGACAATAGCTGGCCACTGCAATTTCCTTCATCATCCATAAAAAGCTATAGTTCTGTCACTGAGCTAAGTGCATGGTGTGACACTGTGAGTGTTAATTTCATATGGAATATTTTTTGACTGCCCAACGTGGTTTGTGAAATTGTGACTTACAGATTCAGAAAATGGCAAGTGGCAAGTGTTACCAGAGAAAATATGCTGCTTCATGCAGTTACTAGTGATCTGCTGTAATTGCTGCTTCCTTCGACAATGAATTGCATATCTAGTGCCAGACTATTTGCATTGGCACTTTCAATGACTGCCTTATGCATTAGATCATGAATTCTCAACTCTTTGAGTCCCAAGAAACGCATCATACGTTCATAGGTTCCTACCTAGAAGCCCAATGAACACATGATGCGCCGATTGTATTACTTTCTTTACTACCCCCTGGGCCTGTGATGCTAAACCCCCTGGGACTCAAAGAGTCAACCTGCTGGTCAGGATCCTTTTTTGGTCATATGACCCTTTCACAGGGGTTGCCTAAGACCATAGGAAAACACATATTCATTGAAGTCATGATGGAAAATAATTGTCTGGGGGTGGCCACAAGATGATGGAACTGTATTTAATCAGTTAATACGACCCTTTCACAGTTGTCGCCTAAGACCGTCAGAAAACACATATTCATGTGTTTCTGTGCTCCTGTGGGTTTTCTCAATATGTGTCCCATCCAATGCCAGCATCTTTTCTGTACCTCTTGGTCCACGGGAACTTGTTTAGTTCTCTCCCAAAACTCTACATTAGTGATTCTATCATACCATTTAATTCTCTGTAATCTATGCAGACAGCAGTCAATGAATGTTTGTAGTTTATTAGTAACTGCTTTAGCTGTTCTCCATGTTTCCGCTCCGTACAACAGTACGTGTTAAAATAACAAAATTGGTTTTTATGACATGCTTATTGGAGAGGGCAGTATGTCTAATTCTTGTTTACCCCCAAAATCAGGCCCCGGAACCCACACAAGTTTTCCTACCATAGGCCACATCCTGCAGCCTCCTCCATGCCCCCCCCCCCCCCCCATTTATCTCTGACTCTAATTCTCTTTTATATATTTATAGGTCTATCTTCTATTATCTCTCTTTGCACAAATTTTACTCTTATCCTGTCCGGGCAATGTAGTCAAGCCATTCAGGTATTTATCTTTAATATTTCCTTGCTTTTTTTTCCATCAACCTGTCCATGCTATTTGTTGGCTCAGGAGCGGAGCAACTGTGGGGTGACCCGTTTGCTATGAAGCTGAAACTAGGATTACCAGATTCCTTTCCATAACAAACACGATCTAGACTCTCTACATCTAAAATTCACTAAACAGTTGTCAGACATTCCACTAGCCTGGAAAGATATTCTTTAATTTACCAAATAAAGAGGTAAAACATGATCTTTATACTACAGAATTCCTCAGTGTTCCAAATAAGGAGATACATTTCTTCTTCTTCTGCCTTTCTATCCTCCAATGGAGCATAGGCCCTCAACCAACTCACGCCAAGTCGTTCTATCCTTCGCCATTACATGTCCTCCCCATCTTTTTAACTTCATTCTCCAGCTCTCTTCTCCATGTGTTTTTTGGCCTTCCTTTATTCCTATGCCCCTGTGGGTTCCAATGCATTCTAGTTACGCTGTTCTCCTGTTTTCTCAGTGTTTATCCTAGAGATATATTTAGATCTTCTTAATAGTAAATTTCTTAACTTATCAAATGAAGAGGTATAAAAGGTTTTTCCCTAACTAACTCAGTTAAAGAGCTACTTTTTGGTGCTGAAATTAACTTACCCAAAAGAAGAGGTAGTTGGGGTTTCCTCGATGTTAAACTCTGCTACTGGTACGCCTCTAGCAGCTACTTGTGGAGCAAACATGGCCGCTGGATACACCACGGATGAGGTCCCAACCTGAAGACATCAGTTCAATAACTTGTGTGTCACAATATAAAAAAATACTTTGGTACTGAATGCTGTTTAAAGAATTAAAACGCAGTAGACATTAATATAAACTGGGATGAGGGGTCTTCTTCTTCTTCTTTGTTCACCGGCTGTAAGCTCTGGAGAAAAAGTCCTGGCTGCTCCTCCATTTGTGCCAGGGTCTGAGTTTTGCATGCGGATCCATTTAACCTGCTTATTTGTGTGCAGTTGGTTGTTCCTTGCTGCTCGGGCAGATGCACTCTGACTTCAAACAAAGTCCTCAATTTAGTGGACTCCTGCAACATGCTTGTTGGGGGAAGGCAGTGGGTCTATCTTTTTCCCCCCACAAATGGGTGAGGGGGGGAAGAAAAAAGAGTAATATCTGGGTAACTGTTGGTAACAACATTTATAAAACAAAGAAGATGGCACTATACTGGACACATCCTAAGAAGAAACGAGCAGAGAATAACCAAATAGGCACATCCTAAGAAGAAATGAGCAGAGAATCACCAAACAGGCAGTGAAATGGGAAATAAAGAGATTGAGGGAATGAGGATGACCGAAGGAAAACCTAAAAGGAACGTTGATGAGAGAGGCCAAAGGTGCTTGAGTGAATTATATCCATGGTATCGAAGTGATTGCCCAGAACAGAACGGAATGGAGGAACAGACTGTGAGCCCTGTGTGACCTATGGCACACAACACGGCAATGAGGATAAAGATGATGAGGCAATATAAAAACTAATCAAGAGGTGAAGAAAAAATTGTGGCAGTGGATAGGACACACACTGAGAAAAATATAAGCAACAATATAACTAGAAGGGCTTTACAAAAGAACAAATAGGGGCAAAGAAATCAGGGCAGACCCACACAAAAACACTTGCAGAAGAGAGCTAGAGAGTGAAGTTAAAAAGATGAGAAAGATCTATGGGGTCAGCACTGCATGCGATATAATAGGTTAGGATGACAGCGTGATCTGGTTAGAGGTCCAGCTCCACTGGGGAATGAAGGGCAGAAAAGAGAGACAGAGAGAGACAGACAGATATTGTTAGATACATTTTTTTTTAAAACCACACAGAGTCACAACATGGTACAAATGGAATGACACTTCCATCAAGAGCCAGACTGACTTTATACTAAGAGGGTTAAATGAAGATGGAGAATTCTTGACGCAAAAATCAGTCTCTAATGATCTATGTGATGCTGATCATAAAAGAATTGTAATATTTACTGACTTACCAATTTAAGAACACCACAGATACCCCGTCTCTCGCAGAAAATGTCTAGCACACTGATTATACACAGGTAATTCTCTTCCTCTCATAGATTCCTCCTTGCCAGACCCACACCAATTTCCACATTAACAGATTCTTACACATGTTTCGGGAGCTGAGTGGTCTCAAGGGATGGTGTCCGCCTCATGTGCTGGAGGTCCCGGGTTCAAGCCCCGGGGAAGGCTGGGATTTTGTCAAGTGGACTTCTAGTGATTTCCTGTGGCCTTTGGGTACTAAGACCGGACACTAGTGTGTTTTCTTGCGCAGGTAAAAAATCCCTTGGCATTAGGAAATCGAAAAGAGTAGCCTAATGGCACTGCCCAAGCAAAAATTTTGAGGTGAAAATCTACCCAAAGTATTTCAGGATCCTCGCAGGTGCAACAGAGTTCATGCACTGCGCTGAGATTCTTTAGACTCAGGCTGGAGTTAGAAGTAGAACGGAGCACTTATGGGTTACAGCCGTGTACCATGATGCTCATCCGTCGAATAAACATAAACTTACACGTTATTTTATCTAACTTCGTATTATCTATCAAAATTCATCCATAAATGGTTTCATGAATGGCTCTTTTGTTCAGTATGAGTGTTCCCTCAGCTATTGCTATTGTAGCCAGAAACAATATTTACTGTAAAGGTGAGAGGTGAGAGGATCGACTTCATAGCCATACTTTATCCTTTTCTCCACAAAACAGGCCTGCTTAGAATGTTGCACACAGCATTAACTCCGGAGCTCCAGCAATGATCCCCAGGGATCTCAGTAGAAAATACACTCTTGCGCTGAGCAGCGCAGCTGCGAATGAACCTGTGACCTTCAGAGCACGAGGCAAACATCTTAGTGAACACTTATACTGGACAAAGGAGGCATTCTGAAGATAGTTACAATCCCAACACAATGATTTTGATTTGATTTGATTCAAGAACCGACATCACAGCACTCAGGGCATTCCCATAAGCGCTCCGTCCCCATCTTCAGCAGCCAGCGAAGAGTTCCGATACTAATGGTGCCAGTAGCATTCTGATTAAACGTTCGTCTTGCCTTTCCTCTGAGCCTCGAGCATCTGCCAGAACCTCTCGTCCTTCCCCCTGCATCAGTCTCACCAGACTGTGGTGGTCCATCTGCTCCTCCGAATTGTACACGCTCTCCCCCAAGGCACTAACCACATCTGCCCTATCATGTATCAGTATTCCACCAAGTTGTGCAGAGCCAGCCAGTCTGTCCTCCTGTTCATTTCCCAACACACTGGCGTTCCTCTGTGAAAAAATCTAGACAATACTCCTCACCCGTGTCCTCCGCAGCGAAGCATGCCACTCTGCACGAAGCATACTTGTTCTGATCCCTCAGCATGCAATCTCAACACGCAAAAAATATTACCTAAAGACTAAGATCTCAATGAAATAGCAATCCTGGAACAATAGGTAGTAAAAGAACAGTTACAAGAGAAAGTAGAGACAGCTTTCAAGCAATTGTCGTCTGTACTGGGAAACACCGAATGAAAGGAGAGAACATAAAACCACCTTGCTTAATACACAAAACAAATAAAGTGGAAGAGTGGAAACAGATGGATTTATAACAATACTGCCCTTGATGGTGCGAAGAAGTCAAGGAAGCAGTTAAGAAGAAAGAAAACTGACACAAATTTGATAAAATCAAAGCAAGAAGAAGATTAAATAAACTGTAGATTGCAATGAAGATAAACCAGCTGTACTGTCAAAAATAAAAATAAAAATTGGGTTCTTTCGTAATATCCTGCTCCAGATGACGTCACAGGACAGTCCAAAATTTGGTAAGACTGGGTTTACTGGCTTTGTGATGTTTTTAACTACCCCAAAATATCTATAACTGGCCCTAACCCCAACCCACCTAGGTCCCATGAGTGAGTGCAGCCTACGTCCCACGACTGCATGCAGCCTAGGATCCACGACTGCATGCAGCCTAGGATCCACGACTGCATGCAGCCTATCTACGACCCCCTGAAATATTAGACTGTCCCGTGACCTGTGGATTTTCCCTGTTTGGGGTAGGATATTAAGAAAGCACACAAAAACTGAAATGCACTGTTATCCTATGGCATTTTATTATTTTTTTTTAAATGCATAGCTACTGAGAGGAACATAATTTTGTCATAGTAGGGACATTCAACATGTGTGTCACTGAATGACTGAAACTGTTTGAATTGCATACAAGAATTTTTAGGGTTCAACCAATCAATTGACAGTTCTTTTGCATCTGGGTCATGAATAGTTTTGAGGCATACAGGCTTTCCCCATCAGCTAATAAAAGCAAGCCATCAATAACTATGTGTATCATCCGCAACCGGGTCGCCCATTGGCTGGCCGGGGTACGGCTTCGTCGTCAGTCGGGATAGTATGTGGGTCTGTCTCATTGCATCAACACTGCAAGGCTCCTTTTCAGTGCTACTTGGTGACAAGCAATGATAAGCCACTTTATATGGTGCACAGAAACCTAGTCACAATTATAACCAAACGCTTCCCACTTTGGGGATGCTGGTTGAGCATGACAATGCAAAGCAAGTCAAGTCAAAGCAACTATGTGTAACTTTCTTTCTTTCTTTTTCTTTTTAACAAGAAAGCGCCATTGGATAACTATGCGTTTATTTTTATTTATTTTTTCAACTATGTTTTCTTTTTTGGAACAGTACAATTGGCACTTACCACCAAACACAAATCACATGCATCCAGCTCCTCTCCCGCCTGTCTGAGAATCTCCTCATCCAGACCCTCCCCAAACCAGACCACATGTGGCCGCAGTAGACCCCTGCAACTGTCCTTCTTACACATGGGCAACTGCTCCACTGGAATTTTTGCGTCTACCGCTTCTGGATCAGGTTCACTGTTCAGAGGTAAAAAATAATACAATTTTGGTAGATGATTACGAAGTTAAGTTTTGGGAGAGCTAGCCCCTTCCTCTTACAGCATAAGACAATCCCAAAGAGCTTAAAGAAACATCTCATACAAAGCAGATTATTTCTTCTTCTTCGGCAATCTCTGGTCATGCACTTAATCCACTGTGCGCCATAAACTGGGATGTCTTCTCCAGGTCTGTTAGGTTTCCCCAAAGGTTAGTTGTCAGGTCTACTGGGTGTTGCCACATTTTTCTTTTTTCTTTGCAGCTACTCCAGGAGAGTACAGTCTGGGTTCTGCTTCTGAGGCTCAAAAGCCCCTATTGTCTTCCTTAAGGACTACAAGATACTTCACGAATCACATCTATATATTCTAAAGAAGAGATTCATGCTCTCACAATTTTAACTTTGATTTCCATGCTGGTGCTTAATCAAATTAAATGCTGTTTGATCTTTGCATTGCTATGGCCATCCTAATTTGTTGAAATAAATATTTATTACGGAGCCTAGATATTTGGAGTTTGTAAAATTTTCTGTTTCCTCATCAGTTACTGGTATTTCTGAGTGACCCCCAGTTTTCTGGATAAGATTTTTGTCCTTTAATTTCAAGAATAAGTTTTCATCTTCACTGTGTTTTTGGACAGCCATGATTAAATGTTCTATTTCCCTTTACATTGTTTGAAAGGAGGACTGTGTCATCTGCATAGAGAAGATAATTCACCTTCATATATTTCAACAACAACAAATGTACATATGTAAATCAATATATTTTAAAAACAAATGATTTGTGACGTCTGTGAAAAAATGTTGAAAGGATTTTTATTTTTCAGAAATGTCTAGGTTCATCCGTTTTCTTCCACGGGTTTCCGGGATCAAAAGATTATGGAGGAGGAGGAGCAAATGGATTGCCACAGTCTGGTGAGAGTGATGCAGCGGAGAATGACGAGGGGTTCTGGCTGGTGCTTGACGCTCAGAGGAAAAGTAAGGCAGACATTTAAGCAGAATGCTACTGGCACCATTTGTATTAAAGATCCTCGCCGCTGCACTTTTCGGATTCAGGCTTGAGTTAGAAGTAGAACGGAGGAGCACTTAAGGGTTAATACTCTTGTGCCATGATGGTGATCTATTGTATAAACCAAACCAAACCACTGGTATTGAAACTCTGCGCTGGCTGCTGAAGATAGGGATGGAGTACTTATGGGAATGCCCAGAGTGGTGTGATGTTCGATCTTGAATCAATTCAACTCAGTGCAACTCTATTCTTTTCTTTCTAACTTGCAGTGCAAAGCTACCTCACCAATTCACAGACAGGTTGATGGAAACAAAGAGATAGAAAGCAACTTATACAAGAGATATCAGGGAGACTGCACTGCTCAGGCACTCACCCTTTCCCTGCTAGGGCTGGACAAATTGGACTGTCCTTGTTGCTGCTGACATCCCCACATTTGGTACATCGTGTGGTAAATAGATTTCCTAAGCAAACAGGCACAGGTTAAAGTTTCACTGTAAATACAACTTAATGGAAAATGAATGAATGAATGAACTGAGAAATGACATCCTTGCACTCGGGACTTTCCCTCAAACACATACTCCGTCTCCTTCCTTAGCAGCCAACAGAGAATCAAAAAGCTAGCAGTACCAGTGGCAACCTGATTTAAAGTCCATCTATGTGTCCCCCAGAGGAGCGGCTGGCCGAACAGTTAGAACACAGGGCTCTCATGTGGGAGACCCAGGTTCGAATCCTTGGTAAAGCTGAGGATTTTTTCCCTGTCAGGGGCAAAATGAAAATCCTCACCTGCACAGTCGTGGTGATAGCACTAGCCATGCAGCCTTAAATCCTCGGACTCAAAGACTGCCCCCCCCCCCCCCCCCCCCCCAACGCAAAAGTGGAATATAAAGCCAGTAATTGGCAGTTGACAGTTTTTTGTTATGTTTCCCCCTCCGTGTTAAATAACTTCGTGAACCTCTATACACCCTCATGCTAAATTAGTCTTTCAATGTACGGATTCTCTGTTCTACCTAACTGTCCATTTGATCCCAGAGAGACTTCACCACTACTGATTTATCAGAAAGTAGCTCATCGCCTGTAAGAGCAGCAGCAGCAACCACTAATAGGAACTGAATTAGGACAGTGTATTGGGTGGTGCATTAGTGACTATCCTAACATAACAAGGCAAATGTGGTAAAGGCCCTTTGGGAACAAGCAAAGGAATCAGTAGAGAAACAAGATTATTATAGCCTTTAGAGAATGAGGCACCTGGGTGTAACCAGAGGGTCTGGCTGGCTCACTACACTCAGAGAAAAGGCAAGACGGACATATTACCAGATTGTGACCGGTACCAACAGTATTGGAGCTCTTCGCTGGCTGCTGAAGATGAGAATAGAGCACGTATGGGAATGCCCTGAGTGCGGTGATGTTAACTCTTGACTCAACTCAACTCAACTGGCTATGCTAAAAACAGTTACCTGCCAGATGCCTAGCTAGTGTAGATAGCATTTATGTTGATTTCTCCAATTGTGTGTTCCGGAAAACAAAGAATATAACCACTGCCCATTCCCAACATGCATCTTGTAGAAGGCAACTAATCAAAGTCGGACTGCATCTGCCTGAGAGGCAAGGAACCAACAGACTGCATACAAATAAACCAGATTGGCAAAACAGATGTGCACGCAATACTCAATTTCTGGATCACACTTGAAGACCAGGAGTGAATGAACCTCTAGAACTTTCTGCCAGAGTTTACAGCCAGTCAGCGCTAAGAAGACAAAGAAAAAGTTTCTTGTGGAGTCATAGTGCCCCTGCCTCAAGGTAAGGAAGAATCTGCACACAAATAAACCAGATCTGTAAAAGTGAGACCTAGATGAAGAACCTGGACTTTCTGTCAGAGTTCACAGTCTGCAAATGTGGAGAAAAAGATGAACACTGGATAGCATGCTTGCCTGTTCAAATCCTCAATGAGACGTGGGACTGTTTAAAAAGTGACTTGGATATTCCAAGCTGACACAGCCTAAAAGGGGTCAAGGAAAAGGTACTGGAAGTAAAGGTGGCTGATATAAGCAACAGCTCTAATCAAATGCCAGTTAACATCAGAAATATTAGGGCAGGAGAAACACAACTGGACATCTGAAAGGATCAAGTGGTCTGACTGAGAGAAAGAAGGACTTAGCCAGAAAGCTGGGACAAATATCAGAACAGTAGCCACGGAAAGGTACAACCACAAATATAACTAGAAACTGTTGGTGGCTTCAGGTGGTCGTTTAAAAAAAAAAAAAATATACATATGGACTAGGACTCAAATGCCAGTTGGTTTATGTTTATGTAAGCGGCTTTCAACCTGAGTATATTTGTACTTGTAAATATCTGCTATACTATATTGTCTGCCTTTCTCTCTCCCCTCTTAATTGTTTCCCCCTCTCCAACTGCCACATGTTGTGTCACCCTTTTTTCTCTCTCCTGCTGTTTCACTCTCTCTTTCTCTCCCTGTTGTCCATCTGTCTGTCAATCCTCCCAGCTATCAGTCTATCTATCTATCTGTCTGCCCACCCAACCAACCACCTATCTGTCTGTCTGACTGTCTGTCTCACTCTCTCGCCTTGTCTGTTTCTCCCTCTCCATCCTCCACATCCTGTGTCATCCTTTTCCTCTCTCTTCCTGTTTCTCTCCATCCCCTCTCCCCTTCTCTGCTTGTATGCCTCTCTCTTGTAAGCAGAATAAAAAAACAAACAAATGAATTCACACGTTCTTCAAACAATTCTGCAGTTCAACAGATCAATTTGTTCAACCCATTCTCAAACAAACAAACAAACAATCAGCTGTCAATCTTGGGGTGAAAGCGTCCTCAAGTTTAACCCTACACAAAAAGGTTTGCCAGTGTGTACTCTTTCAGGATGAGAGGCCAGTAGTTCAGGGTCAATTTCTTCGGTCTTAATGGTGTCATTATTGTTAAAGAAGAAAGTCAAGAACCTGTTTTTTGAGTGTTCTTTGTTTGGTTGTTTTATTAGCTAACTGGTTTGTTTGACTGGCCGTTTGATTGTTTTATTAGCTAACTGGTTTGTTTCACTGGCCGTTTGCTTGTTTTATTAGCTAACTGGTTTGTTTGACTGGCCGTTTGATTGTTTTATTAGCTAACTGGTTTGTTTGACTGGCCGTTTGATTGTTTTATTTGCTAACTGGTTTGTTTCACTGGCCGTTTGGTTGTTTTATTAGCTAACTGGTTTGTTTCACTGGCCGTTTGGTTGTTTTATTAGCTAACTGGTTTGTTTGACTGGCCGTTTGATTGTTTTATTTGCTAACTGGTTTGTTTCACTGGCCGTTTGGTTGTTTTATTAGCTAACTGGTTTGTTTCACTGGCCGTTTGGTTGTTTTATTAGCTAACTGGTTTGTTTCACTGGCCGTTTGGTTGTTTTATTATTATTCTTCTTCCTCCTCTTCACGTTCACCGACTGTAAGCTCTGGTGGAAAGTTCTGGTTGTCTGTCAATTTCTGGACTCTGGTCTCGTTGTGTTTTACATGCACGTCCCTTTTAGAGATTCAGCTTATTTGTGTGCAGACTTTTGGTTCCTCACCTCTCAGGCAGATGAACTCTGACTCTAAAGGAAACACTTCTGATTAGTCGCCTGCTACGATATACTTATTAGGGCACTGTTGACCTAGTTTTCCCCAAAATGGAGGTCTCAGAACCCACAATGAAAGCTTTACTGGTTCAGTACACAGCTGAGTGGGAGTCGCTGTAGTGTAGCGGCTAGAAGCTCACCTGTGGATCGGAAGGTCGTGGGTGCGAGTCCTGACAAAACCTGGCTTTCTTCAAAAATGACCTCGGCTTCTAGGTCGACCCAGCCTTGAGTGGGTACCAGGTGCAGTCCTGGAAAGTAAAGGCAGCTGGCGGGATGTTTGATCACATCACCCACCAAGTGCCGACTTAGTCTATAAAATACAGGTCTAGCCCTACATGCCCAGTATGCCTAAAGGCGTGGAAAAGGCTCCTTCACTTTCTGGATTGAGTGCTGAGCTAAGAATTTACATCATGTTACTTGGAAATTCCCATAAGCGCTCCATCCTCATCTTTAGCAGCCAGTCTGTAGTTCCAAAACCAATGGTGCCAGTAGCAGTCTGGTTATATGACCGTCTTGCCTTTCCTCTGAGTGTCGACCAGATCCCCTGGTCACTGTACCATTCTCTCCAGACCATCATGATCTGTTCATGCCTCCACATTGTTCATTTGCTCCCAAAGGGACTCACTGGCTGGTTGACTGTTCTATTACTCTCTGCTGTTTTTTTTCCCCCCCTCAAGGATTGCATCATGTAGGAGTGACATCTCTATTGGTAACTATGGAGTTAACGGCAGTAACCAAAGCAATAACATGGCTGGAGAAACAGATCTTTTCTGGCACATGCTTTCTCAGTGACTCAGTGAGTATGCTCAGGAAGGCAGAGATGGACTGGGTCCAAAGACAGTGGATGGAGTCTCTAGATTGGTCGGGGGTGACATATTAGTTTCATATTTGTGCCAGGGCACGCAGATGTACAATGAAATGGGCAAGATGATAGGTTGCAGGTAAAGTTACTGTGGAGGGCAGATGAGCCATAGACCAGGCAGATATACTGAATGCTCTAAAAGAAGCAAGACGTTTGCGAGAACCAAGTGATGACTGTGAATCTGCAAGCATGACCAGGATGCAAGACCAACATGTTAAAGAGGGTGTGAGCCCTAAGCAGGAAGCCAAAATAGAATAAGAAACCAAAACAGAACTCGTGTGGTCAGCCGCTACACGCTGCAGGATTTACTGAGGAGAATCGTTAGATGAGCAGTGAGGGTAATCTGTACTCTAACAAACATCTCATAGATGAGAATCAAAGATAATGTGTAGACTAACAAACATCTCATAGATGAGAATCAAAGATAATGTGTAGACTAACAAACATCTCATAGATGAGAATCAAAGATAATCTGTAGACTAACAAACATCTCATAGATGAGAATCAAAGATAATCTGTAGACTAACAAACATCTCATAGATGAGAATCAAAGATAATCTGTAGACTAACAAACATCTCACAGATGAGAATCAAAGATAATCTGTAGACTAACAAACATCTCACAGATAAGAATCAAAGATAATCTGTAGACTAACAAACATCTCACAGATGAGAATCAAAGATAATCTGTAGACTAACAAACATCTCATAGATGAGAATCAAAGATAATCTGTAGACTAACAAACATCTCACAGATGAGAATCAAAGATAATCTGTAGACTAACAAACATCTCACAGATAAGAATCAAAGATAATCTGTAGACTAACAAACATCTCACAGATGAGAATCAAAGATAATCTGTAGACTAACAAACATCTCATAGATGAGAATCAAAGATAATGTGTAAACTAACAAACATCTTACAGATGAGAATCTAAGATAATCTGTAGACTAACAAACATCTCACAGATGAGAATCAAAGATAATCTGTAGACTAACAAACATCTCATAGATGAGAATCAAAGATAATCTGTAGACTAACAAACATCTTACAGATGAGAATCAAAGATAATCTGTAGTCTAACAAACATCTCACAGATGAGAATCAAAGATAATCTGTAGACTAACAAACATCTCATAGATGAGAATCAAAGATAATCTGTAGTCTAACATCTAATAGATGAGAATCAAAGATAATCTGTAGTCTAACATCTCACAGATGAGAATCAAAGATAATCTGTAGTCTAACATCTAATAGATGAGAATCAAAGATAATCTGTAGTCTAACATCTAATAGATGAGAATCAAAGATAATCTGTAGTCTAACATCTAATAGATGAGAATCAAAGATAATCTGTAGTCTAACATCTCATAGAAGAGAATCAAAGATAATCTGTAGTCTAACATCTCACAGATGAGAATCAAACAGGTACACACCCCAGAAACCATGTACTACTGTATAACACAATTATGCTTGGGCAGTCTACAATTACGAAGTAACCTATTCTTACCATGTAGTTCTATGATGTTCTCTGAGCCGGCAACCTTGTGTAGCTCATCAATGTTCTGTGTGAGGACCACCACTCGTCTGTTCTGTGGCTTCAGCCTCTTTTCTAGCTCGGCTATAGCTATGTGTGCCTGCCAACACAAACACACAATCAGGGCGTGACAGTTTACTGACTTTACCCAATTGTAACCAGGTGACGAACTATCCATGTAAGGATCCCTAATCTGCACATGACCGAATGTTGAATTATGAATCTATATTACAGCCTTCAGGACATTACCATAAGCGCTCCATCCCCATCCTCAGCAACAAGCGCAGAGTTACAATTCATGACAATGTATTAACACATATGACTTCACCTAGCACATACTCAACTCCTTTGAGTTTACCATGAGTACAGTAAAGTCCATTCTTAAACATAAACTATAAGCAATAATAGTCCCTGTGTGAATTCCGAGACCCCATTTCTGGAGACCAAAGAGAGACAAAGTTCTCTGGTCATGTGATGAGAAAAGGAGCACCGGAAAATAATCTGATGACTACTGGAAAGATCACAGGTAGCAGAGGCGGATCAAGTGAATTGATGGTAGATAGCTTAAGACAGTGGCATGGAGGAATATCATCAGTGGAATTGACCCAGAACACCAAAGACTTAGATCTGTGGAGATGCATGAACGCCTACACCAGCTGGCAAGGCACTTGATGATGAAAAAAAAAAGACTTTGACCCTCCACCTCCACCCCACCCCCTCCTCCTAAAAGTAGGTCATAAAAAGTGACTAAATAAGTATTTTTCTGAATCAGATAGGCCCAAAGGTGCAGATTTCACAGCCCAGTTGTAAACTGCAACACAACCAGTAAACTGCTCTTTTAAGGCAAATGCAGAAGTAAGAAGAATATTATACAATGGGAGAATACATTCCAAGTGTTTTGCCAGTTTCCAAGAGTAAAAAAGTCATAAAAAGACTCTTCTCATGTCTGGCAAATTAGGCATATGACTCATTGCTTTAGGTAATTAGTGCTTCTGTCCGAGAGTCAAAGAATCCACAATCTGCATACAAATAAGCCAGATGTGTAAAACAGATGTGCACACAAAACTCAAGTTCCGAAACAAGACCAAAGTCCAGAAGTGGACAAACAACCAGAACTTTCTGCCAACGTTTACAGCCAGTGAATGTGAAGAAGGAGGTGAAGAAGAAGAAGGACACTTATTGATGCACAGCTCACAATGATGACAAAGAAAAAAGTCGTGTCACTTACAGGATTTGGGCGCTTGCTGGCCATCACTTCCCTCCTGTAGTGGTAGAATTCCCAAACTAACGAAGGATTCGACTTGAAGGCTTCCGGTGTTGCCAGATCCTATGATTTCAAAAACAAAAGCAAAGATGTTCATATGGCTGACAACAATGCTTTTAATCATTTTAAGATCTCTTCTGCAGCCAACCTTCCTTGTGGACACAGCACCTAACTGACTGATCTGTTTAATTTAAAGTGGTCTTGTGTGCTAACTCATTTGAGTAAGCAAGTAGGCCAGAGGTCAGGGATAGTGTCAGTGCATATGAATATTTATCAGAATGCTGACAGAGGCTAGGGAAAATATCCACCAGTCATTATTATTTTTTTGTCGGCGGGAACTCTTGTGTGTGAGACTGAAATATACATTTGTTTTAAAATGATGTGCCTCGCCTAGAAGAAGACTGGCTGCGATGTCTCTATTGTTGTCTTTGGATTATCCAAAACAAAAAAGCCTCACTTAACAAAAGAACTGGACAGGGTTATGAATACCAGCATTAGAGAGAAAGTTGGAATCAGACCATGTCTGGATTTTATTGACAGACAAAAGAATGAAATGGTTCAAACATCTAGTGAGAATGCAGCCAGACTAAACTGCATATGAGCATATGAGACCTTTCACAGCAGAACATCTGGAAGAAAGGGGAGAGGAAGACCAAAAAAGAAGTGGATAAATGGTGTAGCCGAAACCTGCAAAAAGATGAACAAATCCATCACCCAAGTCGCCCAAGAAGTGCAAGATAAATACAGAAAACCACAACACTTGGGCTACAACCTCGTGTCATTGAGATGACAAAAGAAAGAAAGAGAGAAGGAAAGCCTCATTTTCACAATCACAGGATTAGCAAAGATGTTGCTATTTCTGATGATTTTTTTTTAAACGGTATTTTCATAATTGTGTACAATGAATTTTATGCGTATACTCAATTTACAATCCACATCTGGGAATGGCCAACCTGGGAATGGCCAACCAGGAAATGGCCAACCTGGGAATGGCCAACCTGGCAATGGCCAACCTGGGAACAAATACCTGCAAAAGGTGGATGTGTCGGCTGAAATGCATAAACATCATAGCCATGTAGAAAACGAGTGCAATTCATTGCGTCTTTGCATGAACACAGAAGAAAAAAGAAAAGAGCAATCCATATAAAACAGTTACCAAATAAATAAATACAAAAATAACACTGCACTTAAAATGTCTTCACAAAAAGTTTTGGATTGCTGCTACACAAGAATCTGTTTTGCTGTGTAGCTCTCAGACCATTAAATAATCTGTTAATAAACTGTCTACTGTTGACACAAATGCAGGAACTTTACGGATTGTGAAATGTGTTCACTAATCTCTAAGCCACAAAACTGCAGATACCAGCATGAAACAACAGAATTGTCAACTAGAAAGAGAGAGACAGAGAGAGAGGGACGGAGACAGAAAGAGAGAAAGAATGAAAGAGACAGAAAAAGAGAGACAGAGACAGAGAGACACACAGAAAGAAACACACATACAGACATATAGAGGAAGCGACAGACAGACAGATAAGGAGATAGACAGAAAGAGAGAAAGACAGACAAAGAGGGACACAGAGAGAAACACACACATATACACAAAGAGAGAAAGAGAGGAGGGAGGGGGCGAGAGAGAGAAGTGAATAGTTACCAACCTGTGCCTTCCATTTCCTCCAGAATCCCCCAGCTCCCCTGAAAGTAGGCACCCCACTCTCAGCACTAACTCCTGCACCAGTCAGAACAACAATGTGCTTTGCTTTACGCAAACATTCCCGGAACTTCGCCATATCAGAACTGGGTCGCGATTTCTGTCACAATGGCAAAATACATACTTATTTGTATTTACAAACAAAAATTTAACTTAATAAAGGCTTATAAAAAGGAAACTTTGTTTTTACACCCGTGCTGTATAATGAGGTGAATTGCCAGGGAAATCCCGGATGATGCAATGTGGCTCTGTCTAGGGTTTATTTGCACTCTTCACAATGTTGTACTGATGTTCTTAGTTATATAAAATTATTATGAACACACCAGACGACAAACACGCCCTCGGCAGTAGGTGATCTTTATTAGCTGTTGCACCAGTTGCACTGTCCAGTCGCTCATCTGTGTTCTCTTGGCTGCTACATTGGCTCATTTATAGCAACAGTTCCAACTATCTCACACTGTGATTCTCTCTGCCGTTACCTTTTGGACTATACATCTGGATCAGGCTAACATCTTGCTCCTTGTACCTATACCCAGTTGAAACTTGCAGTCAGTAGATATTTATTCCCTGTCTCGTACAATTAAACGTGGTCAGACAGTTCGCATTCTTCTCTGCTATTCCATTGCATTTGACCGCACACATCCACGTCCAAACTTCAACTGACTTCTTATCCTCTCTGGGTTCACACCTTTCGTTCTAGTCTCACCAAGCCACATGGGGAGATCATCATCATCATCCTCCGCAACACTATGTGTTGTTGGGTCACCAGTTTTCTTTAACTGTCTGATCATCTCTCTCCAACTTTGGCGGTCAGTTGCGATGGACTTCATGGTTGCATGCCTTAGACCTGTCCAGTCAGTCAGGTTCTGTAACCAGGTCTTTCTTAGTCTGGCTTTTCTCCTCTTTCCCTCTACTGATCCCTGCAACATTGTTTTTGAGAGGCGGTTAGATCTTATTACATGGGGAGATACAGTTTCACTAAACAGTTGGGATACACTTTTCTACCAGGGCAAATCTAATCAGAACTACATTTTGGCCAACTCTGTGTTATCAGTGTCTCCCAGTTGTGAGCTGTAATATCTTCACAGCACTCCTAATATGTCCATGGATACTCAGATCCCCCCTTCAACATATTCATCAGCGCTGCACTATAAATACTGTCAGTCATTTGCTGGTTGACAAGGCTTTGTGTGACACCAGGTGCTTCTCATGCTTGGCTGTGCCGATATTTACTCCCAATTCTTTTATTCTTAGCAGTGATGCGGACGTGTTGCTTCCAAAATTCTCGCACAGTGTCTATCAGTGTCAAACATGGACCTTTTTAGCGCAAAAAACAAAAGGACAAAGTGTCTTAGAAGAGCCGCTGGAGCAACAAGACGAGAGAAAAAAACAAAAATGAAGAAATCAGACTATAATTAGGACTGAAGTAAGTCATACAGTTCATTAATGAGCAAAATACCCACTGCCACTGAGAACCATGCTGAAAAAATATAATAAACACATAGTAAAGCAAAAGACAACCTAAATGAAATGACGTCATCAAGAACAGACTAAAAAAAATGAATATTAACTTATGCAACACATTAGAAAGAGTTTGCATCTCCACCCAACACCTTGATAAAGTAACTAGAGGAAGAAAAATAAGAAGAAGAAGAAGAAGAAGAAGAAGAGCAAGAGGAGAAGGAGGAAAAGAAGACGAAGAAGGAGAAGAAGAAGAAGAAGAAGAAGAAGAGGAGGTGATGAAGGAGGAGAAGAAGAAGAAAAAGATGAAGTAGAAAAGCTGGGATATATGCAAACTGTTCACACTATCACTAATTTTACCTGAGTCATTGGATCTGTTTTCAGCTGAAACAACGTCCGGACACTGTGACCCCCAAAATCTGACCTCAAACAAGAGTATACTCCCCTGTTATATATCCTCGACAACATGGGCACACCACTTCCTGGTGACTGTTTGAACAACAGCCAAGTAACGGGCAAATGTTTGACTTGCCTAATCTTTCTGAAGCTTTTGGTACGCTATAAATCCACAGCGAAACACAATTACTGCACTGTTTCAATGCAAGAAAAATAAAAGTTGTGGGTCTGCGCATGCATAATAAACAATGTAACTCAGAATCTGAAAAGCATGATACAATAAAGCACAATTAATTGTACCAGGTCAAAGTTAAAAAGGGAAAAAAAGGGGGAAAGGGCTTGGATGTAAATGTGCAATGAACAGTGTCACTTTGGAAACTACCTAAAGCAATCAAATTAAGTCAACAATAATGACCAGTGTGTCGGTTCCTGGGCCCCATTTGGGGGGGGGGGGGGTGGAATAGACCCACTGCTTCTTTAACAAACATGTCATACAGGGCAACTATTTACAGGAGTTTTCTTCAAAGTCAGAGTGCATGAGCCTGACAAGAGAGAAACCAACAGTATGCAAACAAATAAGCCAGATCTGTAAAACAGATGTGCACACAAAACTGAAGTTTTGGAATAAGACCAAAGTCCAGAAATGGACGAACAACAGCTGGTGAACACTAAAAAAAAAGAACTATAATGATGATGATAACTGGTAGTCTGGTAGTCTCAGTTTCAGCTTCATAGCAAACGGGTCACCCCATCTTTGCTCCGCTCCTGTGCCAACGAAAAACACACAGAATGTTTATCACAGTCCCTTGTGAAAAGATTGATAGACTGCTGTTTCAGCATATCTAGCATACACTGGCATTAAAGCATACAGTAGCCATCTGAAGTGCTAACACAAACAGTCCAACATTAGAAATGCAGTTCATCATTGATGGTAGCAGAAGTTACCAACAGATCAGCAGTTGCCCACGCGATCAATTTTAATCACATACAGGCACCACCAACATTGCACAACAGGCATCGCGCCATTTTCTGAATCTTCAATTCACACCACCACGTTGGTTACAGTAAAAAAAAAAAAAATTCCAAATGAAATCCACAGCTCACAGTGTCACGCCATGCATTCAACTCAGGAGCTGGGCGACAAAACTATATCCAGTCTACAAATGGAGCAAAAATGCCACAATCTGGCAGAAGCAAAAAATTTGCCTCGGCTTCGAACAGTGCCCCTGTCTAGTGTCCATTTTGATCGGAAACCGATGATGATAACTGTCAGGGGCAGGAGGAAGGCAGTTGGGGGGAAGGGGGTGGGGGGATTCTCAGACAAATATGTAAATGACAAACATTTATCGCAAATAATAGGTTGTGTATATATACATAATGAACAGTCCCTGGCCAAGTGGTTACATTGTCTGGCTTTCATGCGGGAGACCTGGGTCGACTGATAGGAGTTGTGTTTTTTTTCGGGGGCAAAACTAAACATCCTAACCTGTACAGTCCATGGCGACAGCACTAGCCGTACGACCCTTAATCCTCAGGCTCATGACCTCCTGTTTACACCGCCCTAAAAAGTGGTACACACAGACAGTAGTGATGTTGACATAATGACCAGCAAAACCAACTATCAGGACTTGAATAAATTAACAAGGATGATGATACAGTGCAGAAAGGTTGAGGGGAGGTAAGCCTGAAAGAGTTAACAAGGATGATGATACAGTGCAGAGAGGTTGAGAGGAGGTTAGCCTGAAAGAATTAACAAGGATGATGATACAGTGCAGAGAGGTTGAGGGGAGGTAAGCCTGAAAGAGTTAACAAGGATGATGATGCAGTGCAGAGAGGTAGAGGGGAGGTTAGCCTGAAAGAGTTAACAAGGATGATGATGCAGTGCAGAGAGGTAGAGGGGAGGTTAGCCTGAAAGAATGAACAAGCATGTAATAAAAGGGGACTAATTTAGGTTGGCTAAATCAGATGTTTTGGGCCAAAAGACAGATACTGAAGCCTAGGTGTAAACCCCTTTAGAGGGCAAATGAATTTGTTTTAAAGAAGGAAGAAGAATAATGTATACATAATGAACAGTAGAACAAACAAGGCAGAAACAAGCTACTAAACAAAAAAAAAGGATGGAGGAGGAAGGGATACTTTAAGGCCACAAAGGTAAGAGTTAAACATTTATGTTTATATTTATTAAAGGAGACAATATAACCAGCTTCTCATGGGGACAATTAGTAGAAGTACTTTGGAGTGGCTGCTGCTTCGGAGGACTGCGCACGCATGGGTATGCCCAATGTGCAGTGACGTCGATTGTGATAACAAAACACAAAATAACATTTTATAGGAAGTCGGCATTCTGAAACCCAAGTTCAAGGTGTCTCCTTCGTGCCAAAGAACTGCATGGCTGTTGGGTGAACAGTCGTTAACGAAGGCAGTCAGGTCGTTGTAGGGGCGACGCCTGCTGGTGGATGTAATGTCCTAAGTCCCTTTCCCAGCTAATAGTGAGGGTACTGCTGGGGTGACCATTTGTTAACCCCTCACATAATGCTTCAAGTCACAGTGGACACTAGGCACGACCACTTTTTTTTATTTTTTTTTTTTTTTTAAAGCCGTGGCAGTTCTGCCAGGCGGTGGCCGTTGCATTTTTGCTCCATTTGTAGACTGGAAGGATATAGTTTCGTCACCCAGCTTCTGAGTTGAGTGCATGGTGTGACACTGTGAGCTACGAGTGTTTTTCGTTGGCACAGGAGCGGAGCAACAATGGGGTGACCCGTTTGCTATGATGCTGAAACTAGGATTACCAGATTACCAGATTAAACATTTATGTTAGTTTTTGCTGACAGAATGGGCGAAAAGCTGGTTTTAGATAATAAACCTTCTCTGTGTGGGTTCTGGGGCCCCACTGCGGGGGGAAAAACAAGAACAGACTAACTGCCTCCTAACAAGCATGTCGTAGGAGTCCACTAATTAGGGATGTTTCTTTCAAAGTCATAATGTATCTGCCTGAGAGGCACGGAACCAACAGTCTGCAAACAAATAAGGCAGATCTGTAAAAATGGAAGTGCACACAACATTCAGGTTGTGAGGGAAAACCTAAGTCCAGAAGTGAACGAACCACCAGAACTTTCTATCAATATTTACAGCTGGTGAACATGAAGATCAAAAAGAATAAGATAAGGAACACAACAACAGAAAGAATGGCTATCTTCCGAATAACGGTCCCAAATTATCGAGGCAGAAAATATACCCTAACAGAGCTTCAGTCACGTGCCAATTGCCCACTTCCAGCGACTAGACAGCCACCGCCGAATTGCGTACTTCCGGGGACTATACCGCCACCATTGAGAGTATCCCCTACGCCGCTCACGCGGCGTAGGATTGGGGCTAAACTAGATGGCTGGGACTCACAAGCAAATAAAATGAAGGCAGCTGCAGGAAATGCGGTAGCCGCTGCTCGTGAGTCCCAGCCATCTAGTTTAGCCCTAATCTCCGCTGCGTGAGCGGTGGCGCAAGTCGCCGGAAGTGCGTAATTTAAGTTGCTGGAAGTGCGCAATTGACACGTGACTGAGGCTCTGTTAGGGTATATTTTCCGCCTCGATAATTTGGGACCATTATTCGTAAAATAGCTGAAAGAATTGTTCTCTTCTACATTTTTCTTCTCCAACGATCTCTGGTCATGAACTAATTAAACTAGTTATTATCATCATCATCATCATCATCAATTTCCACTTCGCTGGCAGGAACAGTCTGTGATCTTTTGCTCAGTGGACATCAATGGCTATTGTCACTGCCTGTCCATGCAGAAGGTCTTTAATGTTATTAGTTTATTTCTCCTAAGGTGACCTCTTGCTTTCAAATCAGATCTTTCCCTTGTGGGTTCCGGTGCCCCATTGTTGATTGCCTCCCCAACAAGCATGTCGTAATAATCCACTAACTGGGGGCTTCCTTTGAAATCAGAGTGCATCTCCCTGAGAGGCAAGGAACCAACAGTCTGCATACAGATAAGTCTAGAATGATGATCTCCTTCTCGGACACTCAACTCTTAACCTCTATTCGCAATCCTATACTCCGTTATCCCTCTTCGCTTGCACATTCCCCCCTCCCCCATGCAACACATGCCATGGCATCCTGTTCCCATCTAATGAGAAAATAATATCTACATGTACAGAACTGTTGTGATTGTCCAGGTTTGAGGTGTGAACTTTAAAACAACCCCCAAATAGAGCATTCTTAAATCTACACACTCACTTGTGCAGCTTTTCAGGAGCAGATCGGAGCACCTATGGATCTGTCCGGAGTGCTGTGATGATAATCTTTTCTAATCACTAATCACACACTCACTTTACAGGTAGCCAGAGAAGAATAGTAAATCAACACAAATTTAGTGTTATCAGTCACCACACGCTGAGCTGAGGGATATACTGAAGATGGGATCCGAGTGCTTGTGGACTTGTGTAGTGAGGATAATCTGTTGATTAACTAACTTACGTGATGGCGCTAGTCTAGTGTCGTAAGTATATTTATATAATTTTATTTTTTGGTAGTGATCTCTCTCAGCGACATTTATTATTGGATTAGGAAATTAAAGAAGTAGAAACTGTATTTCTTTTCTGTGGTTTTTAAGACTCACTTTGAGACAGATAAAATTATGATTCTTTATTCATATCCTACCCCAGATGACGTCCAAGGAAAATCCAACATTTTAGAGGGTGGTAAGACTGGGTTTTTAGGCTTTCTGATGCTTTCAACAACCCCAAAACATCTAGAACGAGCCTAGCCTAACCCCCTCGTCCCACGAGAGATGCTGCCTAGGTCCCACGACTGCATGCAGCCTAACTACCACCCCCTGAAATACTAGATTGTCCCGTGACCTGTGGACTTCTTCTGTTTGGGGTAGGATATTAATAAAGCACCAAAATTATGTATGTATTTATTAAAGCAAATAAAATAAAAACCACAAGTAGATTAGTAGACTCACAGGGTAGCAGACACAATCTAGGGGAGAGCACTGTTAATGACTTTATGTAAATAAACTACGGTTACGTTTCTTCCTTGTACAGTGTTGCGTGGAGTGAAGGGGACAA